ACTGCTTCGGACACGCCAAAATAATTTTTTAAAAAACGGTATGTAACTGCAAAGTAAATTTTGCAAATATTTGACTGTCTTTGCTTGCTTTATAAGAGGTATAACATGACATAAGTACCATTAAGTGGTGAATCATTAAAGCTTACGAATTATTCAGAAATAGTGGTGGATAAATTGAATTTATTCAACCAAGAATCGCAATTGTTAAACTACTACTTTAAAATATATATTTGCCGTCCGGAAAAAAGTAGGCATCTCTGCCGGGGATGCCAAAGACGAACTAAAAATGTAAAAATTGGTAGAAACTCAATTTTTTTTAAATTTCTTAAATCTGTTTAATTATTCAATCGTAACGACCATCACGATTTACATTGAATATTATTGATATGTAAAGTGAAATTATTCTTGGCATTTGCCTACGTGAGTAAGTTGAATTAAATTTGCTTGAAAAAAGTTATTAGTTTTAATATATCTTTTAATAGATTTTCGATTTTTATTGGTCACCTTTTCTTACATTCTTAGTCGCCCATGGAATTCTATCCTGTACCATCGCTACGTACTTTCGACGAGAGGACTAAATTTTAAAAAAAACTGCTTAAAATGTCAAATCCAATTTCATTTTGCTATCACTAGACACAGCTGCCAACAATTACGATTTTCCGAATTCTCATTAATGTAATTGAATGTGATTGTGAGTTGGCAAATCAGGTTAGGTAGCAGCTTTGTGGANGATATTTCATTTTTTTCGAACAAAATGCTGGAATGAAATGTTTTACATACCAGGTTTTTCTCCTTTCCGTCTTGCTATATAAGGGCTTTCACCCATGAACAACAGATTATCATATGTTTTAGAAAAGAAGCAAGCATGCAATGTGTCAGCAGTCAATTTATCTCTTGAAAGTCATACAATAAAAATACCAAAGTATAAATTATGTACTTTTTTTACAGTTACAGCGATGCTAACTGCTCCGGATATCCAAAATATTTTTTAAAAATTGTTGATAATAAAATTTTTGAATTAAAACTTAAATTTTGGTTTACTTTCTTGTTACTTATTTTTTTCTCTTATTTTTTTTTCTTTTTGTTCTCGCAGGGTTTCGAAACACATTCAGCTTTTAAACCAGAACTATAAAAATTTAAAAAGGACAATATTTTTTTTTTTTAAGAAATTCAAGCAATTATTTTGTACTTCGATTGTTGACAAACACATATTTTTAATTATGTTTTTTATCAAATAGGTTTAAATTGTAAAATAATAATAATAAATCATTAAAAAAATTTTTTTAATTTTTAGGGTTGCTAAAAACTGGGAAAATCACTGAGTACATAGTAGCTAAATTTTCTCAATCATACGAAAAAAATAATTAAATGTAGGTTCCACGTGAATATTCGAAAATATTCCCTATGTATTTACACCCATTCTCAAACTTCCTGAAATTTAACGTCGCAATACATCACTGTGCAACTCTACTTCAATGCATGATAAAACATTACATTTACTTTTTTTTTCCTGGTAAATGTAAATCTGAAAATATAAATGTTTTCTGATAAACTTAAAACATATTTTTTCTTAATTTTGCTACTACTTGGATAATTTTTACAGATCGGAGAACCCCTAACTTTTCTAAAAATATATTCAGAATTTTTTCCTCGGAATTTTTAACAACGGTTTGTTGTGTCTACCCTGCTAATAAGTTTTTTTTTTTCTTTCCTTTTAAGTTTTTATAATTTACTCACCTATGTAATACTGTCGCCATCTACTGAGTAACTTTCATAACATAAGCTGTTGAAGAATTTTGAAACACATTTTTATTCCGGTACTGTTTTTTAGAACTCCATCTTTATAAAGTTTGTTCATTTTTTTTTCACTTATAAAAACCCTAGCTTGTATTTTTTCAAACTACGCTTTTGTGTAAAATGTGAAAACAAATGGTAGAAGTTTATAAACCTTTATTCAAAATACTTTTAACAGAACATATGCCTTCAATTCAGTAGTGCTGTCATCTGTTTTTAAATTGGGGAACTAAGAACTCCATGAAAATGGCAGTTTAAAAATTCAATTACTAAAAATCATGAGCTATTACAATTCCTTTAAAATACCAAACGAATACACAATCTTCTCCACTTTTTTTATGGTTAGCCTCATCGCTTCACTTTATATCACTTTTACAATTTTTTTTTATCTCCTATAATAATAAGAAAACATTATTTGGTGTACATTTGTCAATTTTTTAAAAAATAAATACATTAGAAAACAAAAACAATTTCAAAATGTTTAAGCATAGGCATAATAGATTGAAAAAATATTATTAATTTTTATTACGCATATCAAAGTCTTTATTTAAGGTTTTTTTATATCGTTAATAATTTTCGTAGAATAATTCCTCGCATAAGTATTTAAAGATTATAAGTTAAAATTAAAGATATTTATTATTTATTCTTAAATATAATGTATGTTTTGTGATACAGCCGGGGTAACGATGAAATTTTTTAAGCATTTCTCTCCCAGATTTTGAATATTAAAATTCTTTTTTGTAACTGAAATAATAAAATAAAAAAAAAAACATTAAGTACCAAAAAAATAAAATTTAAAATAATAAGAAGCATATAATATTTTTTAAATAGAATTTGTTCAATTTAAATATAGTATATTTAAATTCACATTTCAAATTTAAAATCTTTATGTACCTGCANTTGAAGAATTTTGAAACACATTTTTATTCCGGTACTGTTTTTTAGAACTCCATCTTTATAAAGTTTGTTCATTTTTTTTTCACTTATAAAAACCCTAGCTTGTATTTTTTCAAACTACGCTTTTGTGTAAAATGTGAAAACAAATGGTAGAAGTTTATAAACCTTTATTCAAAATACTTTTAACAGAACATATGCCTTCAATTCAGTAGTGCTGTCATCTGTTTTTAAATTGGGGAACTAAGAACTCCATGAAAATGGCAGTTTAAAAATTCAATTACTAAAAATCATGAGCTATTACAATTCCTTTAAAATACCAAACGAATACACAATCTTCTCCACTTTTTTTATGGTTAACCTCATCGCTTCACTTTATATCACTTTTACAAATTTTTTTTTATCTCCTATAATAATAAGAAAACATTATTTGGTATACATTTGTTAATTTTTTAAAAAATAAATACATTAGAAAATAAAAACAATTTCAAAATGTTTAAGCATAGGCATAATAGAGTTGAAAAAATATTATTAATTTTTATTACGCATATCAAAGTCTTTATTTAAGTGGGTTTTTTTATCGTTAATAATTTTCGTAGAATAATTCCTGGCATAAGTATTTAAAGATTATAAGTTAAAATTAAAGATATTTATTATTTATTCTTAAATATAATGTATGTTTTGTGATACAGCCAGGGTAACGATGAAATTTTTTAAGCATTTCTCTCCCAGATTTTGAATTTTAAAATTCTTTTTTGTAACTGAAATAATAAAATAAAAAAAAACATTAAGTACCAAAAAAATAAAATTTAAAATAATAAGAAGCATATAATATTTTTTAAATTGAATTTCTTCAATTTAAATATAGTATATTTAAATTCACATTTCAAATTTAAAATCTTTATGTACCTGCATGAAAAAATAGACCTCATTTAAAACTTTAAGAATCTTATGAAAATTTAAGAAACATACATACGTAACCTTTATCTGACATTCTAAATTTCAATCATTTTTTATTAGTGATGTATGCATGATTAAACCAAGCTTAATTTGTAATGGTAATCTCTTTATAAATTGATTCAAAGTTTAATAGAATCAAAATTAAATATTTTGTATATTGACTAAAATTCACTTGCCGAATTTCAAACTAATCGATTGATTCTATATAATAACAGATTTTATATAATCATTCAATAGTATACCACTAACTGAATAGCTAAATCTAAATGAATAACATTTAAAATATCCATATTAGTTACCTATATTTCATGTAAACAATAATAGATAATCCTATTATTATAACAGTGAACAACGTTGCAAGAAGGCCATATCCAACGTTAGCAGCTGAATTCTCTGAAAGAAAATAATTGAAGAATTAATATACGTAAAGTAAAACTGGCTCCTTCTAGTAAGTTGAATAAATTTTTAAACTTAAGATTTGTTTAAACTTTACTCAAAAAATAAATAAAATAAAAAGCACGGGGTCTGTCTAAAGCAGCAGTCACCATCTAACCCCCGGGCCCGGACGGTACCGGATCGTGGATGTTAAGTTCGTCGTACCGGGCAGCCAAAGAAACATTAAATTATTTCCATTTTATTTACTGTGGTCT